ATTGCGATACCCCTGTTATTATTGTACCAAACCTTCCTCTCATTCTTTCTTTGCGTTAAAGCACTTCCAGCTCTTTGCAAAGATCCCGATGTCGCTGATGTTGGCTTCTGCTGCTTCCTCTAGTCCCTCCAAAAAACCTTGCCCTAAAGTTTTAAAGCGTCGGTATTCCAGTACCGGACAGTGGCACAGCAGGTGCTCTATGGTTTCTTCTTCTCCGCATTCTCTGCAGTAGTCATCATCGGAAACTTTCCAATCTCACGAGGTTTACCTAGGAAGAGAAAGTAAGTCGCGTAGGGTTTCCAAAGCTTTTGGAAACCACAATTTCGACAATTTATTTTTTGTCGTTGTTTGGTTGGCTTTCAGCCACCAGGCAACTGCACCATACGTGATAATAGGTCTGATGGCTTTCACATATAGCCAGTATATATTTTTGAGGTTTAATCCCCAGTTTCTACCACAAATTCCGATAGAGCATAGCCTTTTTTGATGTTTTTAGCAGATGAGAGGTCCAGCTAAGTTTTTTGTCCAGGTTTAATCCTATAGATACTTAACTTCCTCCGCAAACGGAATTGTCTGACCAAGAAGAGTGGGCGGTTTCAATTTGTCTATTTTTCTTCTTCTGGTGAATGGTATGATCACGGTTTTCTGTGGTTTACACTGAGTTGTTCCAGTGTGCACCAGCCGTGAATTGCATCTAAGCCTTCCTGTATTTTTAAGATGTCCTCCTCTTTGTGTCCATTTACTAGGTTCTTTTTCTATCATTAAACAATTTAATCTAATATTATATGATTAAACAACGAACGGTGTCATAGATGGCTTAGATATGAAGATCGCTGTTATTTCATATGTAAAATATCATGGTAAATGTCAATAATCGTAATTTCCAAGCCAACTAAACAACTTTTTTCGATCATACAAAATAATATTTAGTACATAATATAAAAGAATTTTTATTTTTGTTGTTTATTCTATGTCTAACACGAATAAATTTTCAATACATAAACGCGGATTTGTCATCCCGAGATAATTTCGTCAAACATATTACAGATATTATACATTTTAATATGGTAACACTGTCGCTTTCAATTCCTCACCATCTTCGATATGCCTTCATTGGCCAAATTAGAGAAAATAAGTGTTTTATGCGTTGGCCGCAGAACGATTGGTGGCTCCACCGTACAGCATTTGAGACGTAAGGGGCAGTCAAATCAGTCTTGTCACGAATTCGCTCATTAGGTTGCGTATCTGCCCAACTCTTTCAATCAACGGTATGACGCACTCACAGCATCACACGGTTATTCTAAATTTATGTTACCGTACACTCTTATAATGCAACATTGGCACTTATCTTATAAATTCTCTATATATGTATGCTCTGTCTACGACTTTTAATCAAACATACTTTAGTCTTTTAACGTAAAAATACTCAATTTAATCCACTCTATACTCATACACAGCAGCAAAGTTAGTATCGTCGTATTTAAAACGAATTTTAAACGGTGACATTTAACCGTAGCAACGGAAATATTCAATAAAATTTATAAGGATGTTTACCATTATTTTATTTAAGTTATACTTATCGGGCTCCTTTTCTTAATGGTCAATTAGTGTTAAACTTAATTTTCTTAATCGCGATTTATAAAATAAAACAATTGCCTACAAATTTTCGATTTTATTTTTTTTATTTCGAATAATAGGAATATTAATATAGGAAAGATAATTTGAGGGCGTCAAGTTTCAAGACCCGTCTTATCCTAAAAAACGTTGTTTTGGGATAATAATAATAGCAAACTGTTTTAAGCGTTATTTTACAAAAAAACGGGTCCACTAAGTGGAATCATACTAAGTGGAATATTTGGTTTTTCTAGAAATAAAAGTTAATATTTAATTTTTGAACAGAAAAACACAAAAATAATTCGGATAAGGCGGGTTTTGTTGCAGTATGATACATATTGCGGGTTTTGCTACAGCAATATGGAATTATTAGATATTTATGCTATTTTATTAAATTTAGGTAAGAATTTGAAAGGGATAAGACGTCTGTAGTAATATTATACTTGGGTAAAAAGCCTATGAAAAAATGCGGGATTTGCACCAATAATAACAATAAAAAGCAAATTGTGTGACAAGACGGATTTTGCTGAACTAATTTGTAGTTAATTTTATATGGGAATATGAGACTTTTGCTGCAGATTGGGACTATGTTTATGTAGATTTTAGGGTTCACTATTAATATATGTCATTAGGCTATTTTTTAAAAAAACGGATAAAGTGGTTCCTTACGAGCGCGAAATTGCGGAATTGCGGAACTAAATATCAAATTAATTTCGCAGCGTTAATAGTTTAACTTTCACAATATGATTTTTTTGATCCTGTAGAGATTGAACGAAAAAAAGCTTCGAAATCAAATTTGTAGCATAAAAGTTAGTAATAGTGTATTAATTACCTTAGAAGATCTCCCACTCAATTAAAAAGAAAACAATTCCCGTCCAATTCGAGTTCTCTTTTTAACATGCATTGCCTATCCCATTTTTTTAACGTATTACCATTCATTCCCGCGAAAATAAATCGCTAAAAAGTTAAAAATATATTAACTTATTTGCCATACGATTTACGAATATTTGCAGTGATTAGTATGGAACAAATTGACGCAAAGTGTAACGTAAGAAATTTAGGCGATTTCCTTCCTGTTAAGAAAACATGCGATGGAAGCTTCAGTAACTTAATGAAAGCTAAAGTAACAGTTTTGTATTCGAGATGTTTAAGGAAATATAAGTTTTATTTGCATTAAATCACTAAAAATACTAGGTATTAAAAGATTCTCTTAAAAGACCAAGAATAAGACTGGATCCTCAGACAGACCAATACAAGTAGTAATACTACATACTTATTAACTGCTAGACCAAGACCAAGGGAGTCTTGGTCTTGGTCTATAACATTTTATAACTTTTTTTATTTTTTCAGATAAAAAAAATGAGACTTGATGCGTTAGTATAGAGGGTGGCGCACCTCATTCGCTTCGGTTGATTATACGAAAACGGAAAGATGTGGAAACAAAGTTTTTTATAGGTATATGTAGAGAGGCAATGTGCATAATTTATTTACAAATGTTGCATAAATTATTTTCAAATGTACAGGGTGTCAGAACTAAGATCCATACCAAAGTTATATTTTTTCTTATGGAACATCCGGTATTTTATTTCAGTTTTGGATTCTTGGGCCTAAAATAAGGTATTTATTATAAGGGTTTAATATGTTTAAATGCTTTGCGTATTTTTTAAAATAGATCGATAGAAGCAGATTTAAATGCTCTTTCAAACTACATTAGGGTTTCCTATACCTATCTGGCTCAGATTTTGAACAAAAAGTGACTTTTCAATAAAATGACAATCAAGATGGCTGGTGTCGCCATGGCAATTTGCTAGTGACAGGTAGTAGCTATTTTCAAAAACTACATTAGTTTATGGACTTTATTTAAATTTATTAAACAGTTTACTTTTATTTAATTTACCTACAATAGTTTAATAAGTAAGAAGTATTTATTATTTTATCAAGAAAATAAAAAAGTAGTTCTTCGATTTATATTACGAAAACTTGTAGATATATTGGATTTTCTATATAAAAGAACCAATCAAGGCAAATTCATTTTCTTCACTTCCAACGACAGGTTTCTGCCTAATAGATTTTTCACATACCACAATAACATCAGTCCTGCGAAATAGGAAAAGTAGTATTTCAAAGGAACTCTTGTCAAGAAAATTCCTATTTAGATATCTTTGGGCATAAACCCTTCAGGCCAACCAAGCAAATAACTAGTAACATATCCATTCCTTCCGCCAGCAGATACTGCTTCATTTTTGATAAAATAATAAATATTTACTTATTAACTTTATTGTAAGTAAATTAAATAAAAATAACCTATTATAAATTTAAATAAAGTTCATAAACTAATGTCGATTTTGAAAATAGCTACTAAGTGTCACTAGAAAATTGCCATGGCGATACTAGCCATCTTGATTACAGTTTTATTGAAAAATGTATTCAAAACCTGAGCCAGATAGGTATAGGAAACCCTAATATAGTTTGAAAGAGCATTTGAATCTGCTTCGATTTATTTAAAAAAAATACAGGGTGTTGTATTTGAAATAACAAAGTTTTTATGTAAAATAAATGTTTAAAATAGACCAGCAATTATTTATACCCTGTATACATTAAACGAAGCAATTACATTTTTCAGTAAAGTTTATTTCTCTGCCTTTAAACTCAGCACAAGAATTAATTCTGAAAAGCAATGTACAGGGTGTGAATAATATATTCTATTGTAGCATGCATTTTTAATTATCTTTAAATATCTCAAAAACCAAAGATTTTAAACATATTTAACCCTTATAATAAATACGGGTGTTCCATAAGAAAAAATATAACTTTGGTATTGACGGATCTTAGTTCTGAAACACAAATGAACACATGAATTTCAAAATAATTTTAAATTGTGCACATTGCCTCCCCACATATACCCATAAAATATTTTGTTTCTTCATCTTTCCGTTTTCGTATAATCAACCGAGGCGAATGAGGTGCGCCACCCTGTATATATGACATACATTAATTTATTATTAAAAGTTGACATATGATATGTCGTTCTATTCAGAGTATCATTTTCTAAAATATACCGAGGGTGCCATTTAAAAATCAAAAGTTGTAGTCATTTTTGTTGAAACAGGAAGTGACCAAAAACAATTGAATACGTCAATCAATCTTAATTTATGTCATATACTAACATACTAAATCTCGTTATTTTATCTGAAAAAAAAATTATAGGAATGAGCCACTTTTGAGACGCACCCGGTATTTTAGATGTCGTCTGTCGAAATCTCGTAGGGCAAACTTACGCTACCGATTTTTGAAATACATTAACAATCAATATTCTAATATTCACAAGTTTTAATGTAAATTAATAACTATTTATATTAAAATACTAATTTATTTTTCGTTTATAGGAATATTTTGACTCTAAGCAAACAAGGGTTAGCTCCGAACCTTTACGCTACCTTCGAGAATGGGTTGGCTTACAGATACCAACCTGGATACACCCTCAACAAGCAAACTGTAAGAGATCCGTTGATTTATCCATTGATAGCGAGGAAAATGGCAAAACTTCACAAGGCTAAAGTGGAAGGCGTCGAAAACCCCAGACCTTTTATATGGAAAAAATTGAGGGATTTTTTGAATTTGGTGCCTGAAGAATTCACTAATGCTGAGAAACAGAGAAGGTATTTATTTAAATATTATACAGATTTGTAGATAGATGTATAGGGTGTCCCATTTTCGTGTGTTTTATGGGATTTCTCGTTTATAAGTAGAGATACAAAAACGCTGTTTTCACAATGTTACATTTTTTATGAAACTAAAGATGCTACACACATATTTGTCCCATCCCTGTTAGTTCCTGAAATACAGAGCGAATTTGAAAATTTTGCATTTTTCGACTCCCCTCGTATCTCGATTATCCTATAACTTATCAATGAGGTGAAAACTGAGATGCATAGAGTTTTTCACGTAGAATCCAGAGCCGTAACTAGTTTTTAGCTCAGAACTGTCATTTTCGGAATATGACTCAAACTTATTTTTTTTAATGAGACACCCTGTATATTTTTTTTTCTAAGGATATAATATACTCTATAATATTGGTAAAAAAAATTAGGAAAAAATTTACTTTTTAAAATATAGGGTGGCCCATTAGTGCGAGGAAATCCAATATCATCGTTGTTGACAGAGATGTGAAAATACACACACCGGAAAAGTCTAGGGATATTACAATTTTATCCAGCCATCGTCAGTAATTTTATTATTTGCATTTCTGATATAATAAAATTAAAATAAAAAAATAGTTTACAGGACGTATTGGAAATAAAAATGCGAAATTTACCGAATTTTTCAAATTTACCTTGATTTTTATTGAACTCAAAGAAATACACACATTTTTTTAAATTCTAAACTGTGAATTAAAAAAAAGATAAAACCAATTTTACTTAATAAAGGGTATAGCATCCTCTACTGTTCATTACAGCCCTACATCGTCTCTCCATGCTCCTGATCAGGTTGTCGATCTCTTCTTGAGGTACAGCCTGCCACGCTGCATTCACGGCCCGAACCAGATCCCTACGAGTTTCACGAGGCATACCCATTCTCAAAATTCTTCTTTGGACCGCGTCCCATACATGCTCGATGGGGTTGAGGCCAGGAGATTGTGCCGGCCAGGGTAAGATGTTTAATTGAGGAGCATTGATAAACTCACTTACCACTCTGGCCGTGCATTGTCATTCATGAGAATGAAGTTTCTCCCAAAATCATTGGCATATGGTAACACGACAGGCTCAAGAATTTAATCACGATATGTGATTTCTGTTAGAAACCTTTCAAGAAAAACGAGATCGGTTTTTCGGCCTAACTGGACTCCTCCCCAGACCATAACTGTTCCACCTTGATAAGGGTGCACTTCCTGAACATGATCCAACCGAATAAGATTTCCCGGTTCTCTACATACCCTAAGCCTTCTCGAATCCGGATGAATTCCAAAGCGTGACTCATCCGTGAAGAGAATATTGGCCCATTGTTCATTCGACCACTGAACATGATCTTGAGCCCACAAATATCGTACCTCTCGATTTCCTCTCGTTAATGGTTGAGCTCTTCAGGGGCGTCTACTTCTTAAGTTGACCTCTCTTAATCTATTGCGAACAGTGTCAGGATTAACGGTTACATTATGTGTTTCCTGGAGAATTAAACTAAGCTCTGGTGCTGTAAGAGTCGGTCGGCCTCGAGCATTTAATTGTAAAAAATGATCTTGCTGAGGGGTAGTAATGCGATGTCGCCCTGTGTGCCTTTCAGCAACATCACCACTTTCACAGTAGCGTGCACTTAATCGCGATATTACACTTTGCGTTGTATTTAATGCTCTAGCTACGTCGATTTGGCGCATTCCAGCTTCGAGCATACCCATGGCCCTTAGCATTTCGTCTCTGTTAAGATGTCTACGCTCCATAATGTCGTTTAATACTAAACAGAGTTATTTGAATGAATTCTGGCCAGTTATCATAAAAACATAGCCAGTACAGGTTAAATTCGAACAATTGATACTAGGTGCTTTTTATACATTTGACAAAAAATGCACAAACACTTCTGCAAATATCCCAAATTTAGAAATAACTAGTGTGACTACTTCGTTTCAATCGAAGTAGAAAGAATCGGCCTACAAATATGTGGTTGTTTATTCAAAACATTAATTTTTAACTTTAATAAAATGATATCCCTAGATTTTTCCGGTGTGTGTAGATATTTACGATACAAGTGAGTTAACAGCATCATTAAAATACGTGTGTGAAAGTTGCACAACGAGTGCGTAGCACGAGTTATGTAACCACACAAGTATCTTAATGGAGTTAACTCGCGTGTATTGTACAATATTTTATATACGTCTAACTATAAAAACACACAATGAATTTTAAAAATATTTTTAACTAAAATAAAATAATAAAAATACATTGTAGATAATTATATATCGAGGAACTATGGTTACGTGGCCGGGGGCTCGTTGAATTTGACACTTTATGTCAGTTTAATAATATAATGAATAAGTTTTCATGTTTTTATAATTATTATGAATAGAACAGTTTATTTGTATTTAGTACGTACCTATTTAGTGCAAAATAAATGTTTTGCAAAATATTTTTTTATCTTTGGTAGTCATCTAAACAAGGAGTGCGGTAATGAAAATGCTCTTAACTCACTTAAAATGCGTGAGTTAAGAGCTTCTTAACTCACTGACATAGATAAAAAGTTTTATATTGATATTGCATGGTTTATAATGGTGCATATCCTAAAAATGTTTTTGTTACATTCTTTTTTACACCCTCCATTTTTCTGTATATAATTGATTCAGCACAAAATTCTGCATATAGTACACTATTTTTATTTCAAGCACTATATTATGAGCATAACATTGTAAAACAAAAATATGTATTTCTAATGTTTTTAAAATTAAAAAAAAATAAATAGGCGTTTTTTCGCCCCTTGGTTACCCATAATGTGGTTGGCTGGCCAGTGATGATTTTACTGTGGAATCTTCAACGTATTCGTTAAGTCAATTTTTTAATGAAGTTTTTAGAGAAGGTTTTTTACCACGTTAAGTAAGTTCATGCTACTTGACTTTTATATTTTTTTCTGTAACATGTATTTCCATTTTAGGTGCCCTGAGGATGGAATAAATAAATTCCGAAAGCTTGACTATTAACAAAGTGTATTAATTCAATCCAACCCTTCCGACTGCAAACCGACTAGTTCCTAGATTTTCTTTCTCACTAGTCAGTCGATGTCGATACCACTATTTGCTTAAAAAAATATATACAGGGTATTCTATTTAAAAAATAAGATTGGGTCAGTATTTCAAGAATAACAACTCCAAAATCTCCAACATTTTTAAATTCGCCCTGTATTTCAGAAACCAAGGGGGCTAGGACAGATCTGCGTGTAGCATCTTTAGTTTCATAAAAAAAACAGCATATTGATGTATTGTGATCTTTGTATCTCTACTCATAAACGAGAAACCCTATAAAATACACGAAAAAGGGACACCCTGTATATGAGCAATGAACAATAATATTTTCAATCAATTAAAATGAGAGACCCCCCAACAACCGTCACTGTCATATTTATATTCATTCACTGGATATACTATAATTATTGTTTTAACTGTTTTTGTAAACGATGCGATAAAATAATTTCTGTTTGCTTTAGATTTTTAGAGCTTGGGCTTCCCTCACAATCCGACTTGAACGAAGAATTAATTTGTCTACAGAAATCACTGGAGAAGACCGAAACACCAATAGTGTTCTGTCATAACGATCTACTGTTAGGAAATGTCATTTATACGGAAAGTGAGAATGACGTCACGTTTATAGATTACGAATACGCAGCTTTCAACTATCAACCGTTTGATATTGCAAACCATTTTGCAGAATTTGCAGGTAAGCAAAATTAATGCACTCTCTATTGAACAATATTTATCCAATCTAAATTATAAATGTAAAAAAAATAATAAATAAATTTTCCTCTAGCCTTAAACTTTTTTTTCAAAATGACCTACTGTGCCATATCAAATTTAACGTTTCACCAAAGAATATTATAATTTAATAGTATTCAAATATTCTTTGGATTGGCGTTTTAATTTTTGGCAAATCATGAGAGCACTCAGGAACTAAACGTATTATTAATTTTTAGGAATAGATCTAGACAATACGGACTATAAAAATAATTTCCCGTCAAAGGAATTTCAAAAGGAGTGGATCGAAGTTTATCTTCAAGAGTTTTTCGGTATCGAGCCCAACGAAAATGAAATTGAAGAGCTCTATGTAAAAGTAACCAAATTCGTTCTTGTATCGCATATGTTATGGGGCGTATGGGGTCTTATCCAAGCGGAACATTCCAGTATCGACTACGACTATATGAAGTAAATTTAAATAATATTTTTTTTAATTTTTTTGTTGTCATTTTGAAGCAATGTTATTGGTTTATTTCAAAAATGACAGATCATATTTCTACATGGTATTTCAAGTAGACTTCAATTTCTAAAAAAAAATATTTAGATTAAGTATTAAAAGTAGGGTAAAAAGGGACACATTATTACTTTTGTCTTTACTCACAAAAAAATTAAAAAGAAAATACATTCAGATGCAAAAAACACAACGGCAAAAATTTTCGGTCAAGTTTAAAATGTTATATTTTTTATTTTTAGCCCTATCTCTTTGATTTTTAGCAAACTCTACCGTGTGCGTCTCAAAAGTGGCTCACCCCCTATAACTTTTATATTTTTTCAGATAAAACAACGAGATTTGGTATGTTAGTATATGACAGAAATTACGATTGATTGGTATAATCAATAATTGTTTACAGTTACTTCAGGTTTTACCGGAAATGACTACAAGTTTTGATTATTAAATGGCATCCTCGGTATTTTTTTACTTTTTTTGATAGAAAATGACACTCTGAATCGAATGACATATCATTTGTCAACTTTTGACATATTCGCTCAAAAACAAATTGTATTTTAAATTTCAATCTAGAGTGCCATGGCTGTGTTAAAAACACTAATTTTTAATCAAGGAGCCTTGGAAAAATAGATTTGATCGTCTAATAATGTTTTTAGTGTCTTGTCCTGGCCGGCTAAAAGATGCCCAAATCGTATTTTTATTGATATCTCAATTTTTTCAAATGGAACGAGGGTGGCTCAGTAGCATTTTTGGAAAAAGTATTTTTTTACGAATAATTTGATACCACACACTTGGCATTTTGAGTCAAATTATCGTTATGAACCGCATGTTACAATTTCAAATAAACCATATGTGAAAATGTCAAAACTTGACATATGATATGTCATTCTATTCAGACTGTCATTTTCTATCGAATGAAGTAAAAAAATACCGAGGATACCATTTAAAAATTAAAAGTTGTAGTCATTTCCTGTGAAACCGGAAGTGACCGAAAACAATAAAATTAAATTATGTTATTCAATCCTAATTTATGTCATATACTAACAAACCAAATCTCGTTGTTTTATGTGAAAAAATAAAAAAGTTATAGTGGTGAGCCACTTTTGAGACGCACCCGGTATATGAATATATCAAATTTAATTTGTAAACTTAATTTATTTTAAACTTTAGTATTTAACTTATTATACAGCGTTAATGGAAGAGTTGTTTTTTATCCTATCTTCCTGAAACATTATTTCCTAAAATTTTCCTAAAACATTATTTTTCGGTCAGAACCATGTCACCACACATTTTGCAATTTTTTCAATTAACATTACTTTTTGATGTTATTCTTCAGAATGACGGGGTGGCTTTGGTGATTATTGTTGTGTACGATTGAATATGGTTCTTAGTGTCGAAGATTGTGGGAGAATTGTGTTGAAGATGGACGAAATTATGAATATTTGCTAGGTCCTTGAAGAAGAATGAGAAAATATAACACAATATATGTTCACGCATCTCATTGTTTTTTTTTAGTTTTCTTTAATTGGGTTTGGGATTACAATACTTATTAGTATTAGTATTAGTACAATATAAATGATGTGCAAAAATAAATAGTTTATTTTTTGTTTATTTCTCTTTACAATATTTGATTGTTAATTGTTTGGTTGAGAATGATCGAATAAATCGTTAAATTAAATTCAACTTCGTTTCAAAATACCATTGCCCAGTGCGCGCGATCCAAGTACGCGTACAACCAGAAGAAGAATACATTCGGCCGGTGTGTAGAGTCGAACACTAGTGCAGAAATCCAACACGGATCTTTTTTATTTACTTGTGCTATTTTCTCAAAAACGTTACTTGCATCGGAAGAGTGTGGGCAAAAAGAGGTAAGTCGTTTGAGTGCCTTGGCATATTTATTTTTCGTTAGTTTCTTTTTTTCCAATTTTTCTATCTTCTCGTTCAATTTCGCAACAATATATTTGCAACCTCATTAACATTATAAATCGACGTCTGCATTAAAACCAAGCCTGTATGGTTACATTTTCACGTAACATTTTTTTTTTAAATTTAATATAGAGACCTAATCAGTGTCCATATGATATTATATGACAATAGCTACCAAAGCCACCTCGTGATTAAAACATAAAAATTATTAAAAAAAAACATCATAAAGAAATGATAGTTGAAAAAATTGCAAATTGTTGGTGGCCAGTTCATTTCGCTCTTAAAAATTAACCAAAACAAGTGTTGACATGAGTCAAAAAATAGAATGCTCAGGAGACATGGTTCTGACAGAAAAATAATGTTTTAGGAAAAGTCACTCATGAAATTATTGCACAGGCTGTTTAAAGTTAAGAAAAAAAACAACCTTCAAATAATCCTGTATAATAAGTCAAATACTTAAGTTTATAAAAAAACTTAGGTTATAAATTAAAGTTGATAGATTTATATATTAGTTTGCTAAAAAATCATAAAAATAGGGCTAAAAGTAAAAAAAATAAAACACTTTAAACTTAATGGAAAAATGTTTTGTTGCGTTTTTTTTGGCTTCTGAGTGTAGTTAAAGTAATTTTCTAGACATTACTTTCTACGACTTTCGTTAATTCACTCCACATTTTGAATCTTAATTAAAAATTCATAATTTGTAGAAAAAGTGTGTTCATTAATAAGACATTTTTAAGAAATCTTTCCTGAATTAAAATTTTAGAATAGAGAATCCCAAATAATCATGTTTTTTTTTATTAATCTATTGTTAATTTGGTAATCATTAAATTATAATCTTCTTTCAGATTTGCAAAGATTAGATTTACAGAATACTTCACAAGAAAAGAAGAGTTCCTGTCACTCAAAAGCTCGTTATGATCGTGATAGTAAAATAATCTGTTTTGCAATTGATATTAATTTAATATAAGAACAAATTGTAATTTTTAACCAGAGCAGCTCATTTTAACGTTTTTATTTCTCTTAATTTTGTACAAAAAAAATAAATAGAAATATTTTATTTTCCAATTTCATACATTCCTTTCTTGTAGTAACAATTGGCAAAGAAGAGTAAATTAACTTGCTCTTAGTGATATAGTAGTGTAGAAAGCGATAATATACTAATATACCATATTTCCTTGTTTAATTTTAATATAAAACTTTTAAATTGTATACGTTGATCTGATCTAATTTTATATGAGGTGTATGTATTGTTTCTATCATAATATGCGGAACTTTCTTAAAGAATAGTCACAGGATATATAAAAATACCTAAAAAATGTTTTTCCTTGCATTTGACCTATAGAAGTTTATTAAAGGTATAAACTTAGTTATACACATATAAAAAACCACCTGTTGTTTGTTCTTAATTTTGTAGTTGAGGTATTTCTTTTAAAATGAAAATATAATGGGATCAGATATAGTATAGTTCATAAGGACAAATAAATTAGAATCAACTGAGAATTTTTATTTTTAATGTATTTCTTTGATAAAAACTGTATATTAACATAAACTAACATTTATCAAGTAATGCTGCCAAGACCATATACAATGTCATCTATATTGAACGATGTTTTATATAAGTATTAAACAAAAGAAAATAAATTAAAAGTAGGGAATCATATGCTATGAAATTGTGAACTTGCCAGTGAAAAAGTGTCGTTTTGAAAAATTCTCTACAATGATAAAGAACAAATTTTAACTGTTTTTATTTTTATTATAAGCTTAGATATACTTTGACATTATTTGTAAATTTTTATTATATAGGTACCGTTTTAAAAATAAAGATATTTTCGTAATGTTTCGTTTATTTTTTTACAAAGCAATAACTCAAAAATACTTTTAGAAAAATTAATTTTGTAACAAATTTCTAGAGTGTGCCTCTTATTATAATAGAATGACCTTAAAATAAATATAGTTTATAGAATAGTTATATTAGAACGGAATTTTTTTTTGCGGTCATATTTTGACAAAAAAATTGGTGTCAGTGTCCTATTTGTAGGAGGCGCCACCTTTGTTTTGAAGAGTAAGAACTTTTCGTCCATACGTTTATTACGCTACGAGTAATGGTTCTTAATATATTTGGAATCGAAATACATGTTGACTTCGGAATACATGTTGAATGGATAACTATTATCTGAAATAATAAATTAGAAATGGTTTTGTGTTAAAAATTCAACAGAAGCTGTTATATCGTATTTTATTTTAGAAAAATTCATGATTAGCTTAAAAAAATAAAAAATTCAAAATTTATCATTTCAGTCAAATAACTATATATCATTTAACATGTTTATTTTTGTCAGTAATGACATGTACTGACTATTTCTATTCCAAATATCTGGATAACGGTTACTCGTATCGTAACGATTTTAACCAAGAGATATTTTTTAAATAAAAAAATACGGTAATGTATATTTTTTTTACTCAGTAGTTTTATACAGGAGCGAACAAAAAGTTATTACTCATCAGTCCCCTATAATTAGGAGTGATATTGACATCGAAATCAAATTTCTCAAGTCAAAAAACACAGACACCAATTTTCATCCAAATATCGATGTTAGTTTAGAAATTATTTGAAAAAGACACAAATAAAAATGAAATTTCTACACCCTGTATCTCCGAAACGAAGCTATTTAGGACATAAATTTATACGAACTTTTTTAGTTATTTTTACCAACAGAATATGCTGCCGAAGTTCGGCAGCATATTCAAATACCATTTCGGACAAAAAAAGTTCTGAATACCCAACAAATTTCTTACAGTGTGTAAAAGCCTCCATAACAACAAATCAAGAGTGTCACATCATGGATCACTGAGCGACCCATTCCTAACAAATACAGGAGTTAGGCAGGGATGTGTCTTAGCGCCTCTCCTATTCAACATATTCATGGCAGCGCTCTCCATTATATTATAGTAGACAGCAAACTGCAGGAGAGAGGATTGGGGATTAGATACAGATGTGACGGCGGTCTGTTCAACATAAAAAGACTCAGGGCAAAAACACGTACAAAATTTATCACAGAACTTCAATACGCTGACGACTGTGCTCTAGTTGCAAACACGGTACAACAATTACAAGAAGTGTTGAACACATATACCTGGGCATACGAGGCTTTGGGCCTGAAGCTAAACATCGACAAAACTAAAATTATATATAAAAATCGAAGAAGTACTATTGGAATATGTGGCGGAATTCAATTACCTTGGCAGTTTGATTTCGGAAAGGGCCAATATTGACTCTGAAATTCAGCATAGGATTAGTAGCGCCTCAAGAGCATTCTGGAAATTTAAAAATTAAAAGACAGGGTTTTCTACAATCACGACTTGAGTACAAAAACAAAACTTGCAGTGTACCGAGCAATTATAATCCCCACCATGTTATATCCCAGACAGCACAGTGACATTTTAAAGACATCTATAAGACAACTTGTTTCAACATTACTGACATCTCAAAGACGTCTATTTTCGCCTTTAGACGTATTAAAGGCACCTTACCAACGTCTGATGTTAAAAAACCCAACATCTTTAAGATATATTTTAACAATGTACTTAAGATGTCTTTTAATATGAATGAAAATGGGAGACAATGGTGAATTATAAAATATAACATCTCCTTGAACTGGCATTGTCTTTAATTTTTAAATTAAGCATGTTTCTCTCAGATGTTACACTGACCAATATGAAGTGAACAGTTAACATTTTATAATAGTGATATATCTGACCGAAACGTTATGTATTGGTATTTTCTTCTTGGACAACCACTGGAGGGACATCTTCAGATGTGTTATCATGCGCATCTAAAATATGAATCATAGAAATAAAATTATTGTTCAAATATATCTAACAACCTAAATGTTAAATCTTACCTGGCTTACCTACAATATCAGCTTTAACTTCTTTGATCAGTTTTAATGATGAAATTTTGGTAAATTCTCTGATGAAACTTTATATCACGTCCCTTTGCCAAACGGTTTTGCGCGCTTTTTTACAACTTACAACAACGACAAGAACAAACATTTTCCGCGAGGTTTTCCAGAGATTTTCGATCACATAACCTCACATCAACATCAACCCCAACCACAGAAGATAACTGTCACGCCTGTCAATCATGGTACAAAGAATACAAGGTATGATCGATAGCGGCTCCAATTTCGTTCAGTTCGCGCATACCACCTGTGACGTCACCAGGAAAATAATGAATAAATAAAAAATAAAGAAAGTTGACAGGAGATTAGTTCGTTTAATTTAATAATTACTAAAACCAGCAGTTCCAAAAATATATTTAAAAATAATAATTATCTATTAACATGGATTTGGACGATAGGTAAGAATACTGAATTTATTTCTATATTCGGTATAAAATTGTTTATTAGGTTTTTAGTTTGCGATGTTTATGGTAAATAATTTTCATTTTCATTGCCTCTGAATTCACATGAGGACAGAGTTGAGGATATCTATGGAAAAGTAACCACAAGAGGAATTGTTACATCATTTAAAAAATATTGGGAAGTTTATTGTTTCCCATCGAAAAGTAGAAAATGCCAATGCAGATGAACGTATTGTAATTGTGATAGAAGTAATTCTAAGGGTGAAGTTTATTATAATTAGTGGAAGTAATACCAAGGGTGAAGTTTATTATAATTAGTGACCTCTGCTTCTTTTTATATGTAGAAGTTTCTGGTTTTGAGAATAAATCGGTTGAACGACACCCAAAATTTAAAGGAAGTATTTGCATACCCAGAATATGCCCATCAAGGATTATATAGCTCAAATTTCCTTTAATGGTAGGCAATTATTCAATGCAAATTAATTTTGTAAGTGACTGAAATATTAAATAGTTTACAATATGGTATATCACTAAAAATATATTACTTTTAGGTACAATTAGGGCCCGATACATTTCAAAAAGTAGAATATTATTTTATATTAAATGAGGTATTGTACTAACAATCAATTTATATTAATAACGGAGATTAAAAAATAACAGAATAAATAGTTCTTTTTTTTTATACTACAAAAATAAACTATAGAATACAACAGTATTTAAAAAAATAAATAAAAAGTTATGTCCCGGCCGAGATTCGAACTCCGGTCTCTCGCTTCCTAGCCCGACTCCTTACGCACTGCTCCACAGTAACTTGCTTAGCGATAATTCAATGACGGTATATAAACAAAAAAACAGGTTTATAACAATATCTTGACGATTTGAACTGGGGCGCGGAGCGTGCTGACCAATAGCGCCTGTTATCACCTGTGACGTAGCGACCAACCTGCGCAATATCATACCTTGTATTCTTTGTACCATGCCTGTCAATAGTCATATTTGCGCATACAGGGTGTCATTGAAATGGTGTAAAAAAAATCAGGGGGTGATAGTACTCCTAAAAATAGTAAAGAAAGTTTCTATAAGTATAGGGCGGAAAATGCATATTAAGGGAGTTAAGGGCACTGAAAGGGTGAATCTAAAAAACGGTTGTTTTGAAATTGTGGGCTTAAAAAACGAGTTAAAATTTCGAAAAAAAATGCTTTGCCATAAATTTTGACCCTAAATCAAATGGTGATACTGAAAAATTATTTGGAAAAGCGGAAAGGGTAGTTTTTGCAAGGGTAGGGGGTTGTTTCGTGAATAACTTCTTAGAGGTTACTTTTTTACAACGTGGGTTCATTTTTTGAAAAATACATACTTTTTCCTACAAAAAAGGTAATCTTGTTGCACATCGCTGAGAGCGATGGCTTTCGAGAAAATTGAAGGCAAAGAGTTTGCTCTGATGGGTTGGTATCAACATAAACTTATGAAAATTATGGCGGTTCAACAGTAACCAATTAGTTATCAAATAATTAATTGAACAATCAAAATTTTATGATTTTTAAAATATCTTATTGCTTTAAAAAACGACATAATCCAACTAGATTTCTACTTCTGAGGCCACTTTGAAAGCTTCGGTTTACTTACTGCCGATTAATACTGAAGAGCAACTACGGCGACCCATTATTGACTGTTCCAATCAAATTCGGACAAACACCAAGGATATTCCACAGGGTACGCAGATCTTGGAGAAGAAGAGCAGATGTCTGCATTGAAATGAATGGTGGTCACTTTAAACATTTACTATGAATGAATTAAGGAATGCATTATTTTGATAAGGAATTTGGGTAATTGGTTTTTCGTTTTTACAGCAATAAGATGTTCTAAAAATCATGAAATTTTGATTTTCCAATTAATTATTTAATAACTACTTGGTTACTTTTGAACCGCCATAACTTTCATAAGTTTATGTTGAGTTAACGCAACCCATCAGATCAAACTCTTTGCCTTCAATTTTCTCGAAAACCATCACTCTGGGCGATGTGCAACAAGAGTACCTTTTTTGTAGGAAAAAGTATGTAGTTTTCAAAAAATGAACCCACGTTGCAAAAAAAATAACCTCAAAAAAGTTATTCACAAAACAACCCCTATCCTAGCAAAAACTACCCTTTCCGCTTTTTCAAATAATTTTTCAGTATCACCATTTGATTTAGTCATTTTAATGTCTAATGTCATTTTAGAGACGTCCTAAAGATGTTTTATTTCGTCATTTTATGAATATCTTTAAAATGATGTCGAAAAGTTGTCTTATTTTAGTCTTTAGGCGTTAAGATCTAATTAAGATATAAAAAGACGTCTTTAATATATTATGTGCTGTCTGGGATGGGAGCGAAACCTGGGTGCCGTACCGCCGGTATATGAACGCATTAAACAAGTTGCAACAGAGACACCTTAGATAACTCTTGAGTCCGGTGGTTCCATCATGTCTCAAACGTATCGGTCCTTGAAAAAGCTAACTGCGAGAGTATTGAAGTCATGGTCACAAAATCCCGCTTAAGATGGGCTGGTCACGTATGCAGAATGCAAGAAAACCGCATGCCAAAATCTCTGCTTTACGGTGAGCTTGTAGACGGTAAGAGGAGGCCGGGTGGACAACTGAAAAGGTACAAGGACATTTTCCACGAAAATTTAAAGGGAATTAACATGCAGAATGAGTGGGAAAAAACAGCTCACAATAGAACTCGATGGAGAAGGGTTGTAAACTCGGCAACCAAACAGTAAACGGCAACCAAACAGTTAACAGCGGCAACCAAAAAGTAAAGAGGCAACAAAGCAATAAGATTTTTGAATGTCCGGAGTGCGGTAGACAGATAACATCACGTATCGGGCTTTTCAGTCATAGAAAAGCTCATGAAAGAAAACGCCTTGCGTGACCATCTTCTTTATGTGTGTCGAATACTCGTCAGCGAGTAACGGCTGTATGTATGTATGTATGTGTGTATGTACATTTCGGACCACCCTGTATATTTCTGTATATCATCTTCTGAATGTTCTTTACATAAAAACGGTGGATCCATTAGCAGTTCTTTCGCTAAAAGTATTTTCCAACGGTTGGCAGCTCTACACTTTCTGACTAACCACTAACCACTTAAAAATAAAATAAATTTTATTTTTTAAACCAATTTGTATTTTTCAATAGCTAATAAATAATAAGTCCTCGAAAATAAATGGTCCTAATTTTATTGAATGCAAAAACAAATGTCTACTACAAATCTAAGAAATCAATAGGTAATTAACAATAATATTATTTTTGATTATTCTGTTGTGACGGGTTTCTTCTGTTAAAACGTTCACATGGACTTAAGGTATGCTTTAAAACGGAATCACTGTCTGCTTCTGATTGATTCTCCTCCTAATAATAAGGGTAAACATTACTAATAATCAGTTAATATTTAAAATGTATTAATAAATAAACACTGAAGTGTAATAAAAATAAATAATTTCAACAATCCTTCCTCATTGATAACATTTATTTGCGTCGTTCAAAAAAAAATTTCGTTGTGAAAAATTTTTATATCACCGTCACTATTTTCTGTTTAATTTCTACACTGAAAAAATATATAAAAAGAAAAAAAACTACAACATTGTACTTAGATTTGTGTAAACATAATATGATACACAATGGTTGTATTAGCGTTATTATTCTTCCCCAACTCAGTTTACAATAGTGCCCATACAGGGTGGTCCGAATTGTATTCCGGAAACTTCGGCAGCATATTCTGCAGACTAAAATAAGTAAAAAAGTTCGTATAAATGTATGTCCTAAAATGCTTAGTTTCGGAGATACAGGGTGTAAAAATTTCATTTTTTTTCGATTTTTTCCAAATAATTTAAGAAGTAACGTCAATATTTGGATGAAAATTGGTGTCTGGCAGTTTTTAGACATGAAAAATTTGATTTTCATGTCAATATGACTCCTACTTGCAGAGGGCGCCATCTACATATGCTTTAACTGGTTTAAAGAGTAATAAAATATATAATAACACTACTGAGTAAAAAATATACATTCACCACGTTTTTTACGTAAAAAATATCTCTTGGTAAAAATCGCTACGAGTTTTCGAGATATTTGAAATTGAAATTATGAATACCTGTCATCATTGACAAATTAAACATGTTGACTAAATAGTTATTAGATTATTATAGTTATTAGATTATTAATCTTAAATTTGAAATCTTTTTGTGCCAAAAGTCCAACAGAAACTGTTTAATCATCATTTTTTTGCAGAAAAAAATATGATTAATTTAAAAAAATAAACATTTAATATTTCAGTCAAATAACTCTATTCAACGTGTGCTTATTTTTTGTCAATAATGACATGTATTAACTATTTCTATTTTAAATATCTTGAGAACGGTTGCTCGTAGATATTTTTACCAAGAGACATTTAGTTTACCAAGAGACATATTAGTATATTTTTTTAGTTAGTAGTTTTATACAGGTACCGTCGAAAAGTTATTACTCTTCAAAACAGTCAAAAGGCATGTAGGTGGCGCCCCCTACAAATAGGAGTCATTTTGACATCAAAATCAAATTTCTCGTATCACAAGACCTCCAGACACCAATTTTCATCCAGCTATTGACGTTACTTCAGAAATTATTTAGAAAAAATTGAAATAAAAATGAAACTTCTACACCCTGTATCTCCGAAACTAAGCATTTTAAGATATACATTTATGCGAACTTTTTTACTTATTTTTATCTGCAGAATATGCTGCCGAAGTTTCTGGAATACAATTCGGACCACCCTGTATAGCAACAGCAAATCGTGTCAAAAAAACACGTGTCGTGTTTAAATTTCAACGAGTACAGTCTGAATATTATCTAATATAAATTGTGAGAATTACCACCACTCTTTGTTCCCTATTTTCGTATAAAATCAAACATATTTTACTATTTTGGAGGTCTTGTAATAGAAATAAAAGTTACGACGTAATACCTAGTATTATTTTAGACGCATTATTATTAGGGCACAAACATAGTGAGGCATCTCGATGCGATGCTCGCCAAAATGCTGGCCGCGCTGCTCGCTAGGATGGTAGCCGCGATGCATCCTATGCGCACTGTTTTAAAACGCCGAATAGGTGCGCGTAGGCATACTGAAACATTTACCATCGCCGTTTTATTAAGCACCAGTTTATGTAATAGTAGTTATTAATTAGTATAGGCTTGGTGCATTTCAGTTGATTTCAACAAATTCCTACCGCAGCAAATCAATGGCAAAAATCAGAAATTATCCCTATCTATTTCACGTCGCCGTCATGTTGATCGCATAGAATAATATTGAAATCGTGGTTTTGTTATAATATATAAGTATTTTAGTTTTTTGCTAGTGCAGTTATTGAGACAAAAAGAGATAAAACACTCAGGTACAAGGTTTGTGTGATGTAACGCTGTTTCGGGTAGTAAAAAATAAATGAAAAAGAATTCGAACTAGGTGTCGGCGTCGTGCTGTGTCAAGACAATGTCAAATGTTAATAAAATTGCCGAAAAAATGTTAACGCATAAAGGAGAGCGCAATTAGGGCGTTGTTGGGTGCAATTCCATTCAATAACTCAACTTTCCCGGATATTCAACTCTCCTGAAACAAAATTTTATAGCTTCATAGTTTCTCATACCGATTTGATCAAAAGCAAAAATGGTTTCAAGCAGTTCGACGAAACAAGTGAGTAAACAAAGTGCTCGTTACATAATCAAAAAATTAAAAAGACATTTACTATGAGAGGATAAAATATAATTTGCAATATTAATGGTATACTTTTTTTAAACAACTAGTGATTAAAGTACTTGCTATAAATAAATAGTCCATAAAGTAATTTCTATTTTGAAAATAGCTACTGTCACTAGAAACCTGCCATGACGACATCAGCCCTCTTTGTTGCCATTTTATTGAAAAATTGCTCTTTATTCAAAATCTGAGCTAGATAGGTATAGGACACCCTAATATATGTAGTTTGAAGGAGCATTTGAATCTGTTTCGATTTATTTAAAAAAATAGGTTGTCGTATTTGAAATAACAAAGTTTTTATGTAAAATAAATATTTAAAATAGATCATGAATTTTTGGTACCCCTGTATAAATTTAAGGCAGCAATACAATTTTTCAGTAAAGTTTATTTCTCTAGCTTTAAACTCAGCACAAGAATTAATTCTAAAAAGTAATGTACAGGGTGTTGATAATCTATTCCATTGTAGCATGCATATTTAAATATCTTTAAATATCTCAAAAACTAAAGCTTGTAAACATATTAATATATAATAACCCTTATAATACATGCCTTATTTTGTGTCCAAGGATCCAAATAAGAAATAAAATATCGGGTGTTCCATAAGAAAAAATATAATTTTGGTGTAAATCTTAGTTCTGACATACCCTGTACATTTCAAAATAATTTTAAATTATGCACATGGTCTTCCCACATATGCCCATAAAATATTTTGTTTCTACATATTTCCGTTTTCGTATAATCAACCGACGCGAATGAGTTGCGCCACCGCGTATATAGGTGTTGCATTTAAATAAAATATTCGCGATCCACCGCTTCCTCAAATACATCCTAATACGTACTTTATGTCTGGACTACAAAATTCATAAATTTTTTATTATTAGAACTACAGATGCCCGACGCACTATTGCCGGACCCTGTAGAATCAAGGTTATTACATTGTTGGTGATAAATTAAATATTAGTATTGTGAACATTTTATTCTACCCTACTCTACGATATATGGTCAATGAATTGTGATCCTAAACCGACCAATCAAATGTAAAGTTTCAGGCATCCGCGTACGCTTCTCGCAAAAAACAAAAATTTTGTTTTTTAGGAAGCATCGCGCTGAACATCTAGGTGCGTGGCGAGGTGCGAGGCTTCAGTATGTTTTGACGCATAAATTTGTACATGTTTGATTCAACATCGAAGGATGGCGAGGTGAATGGCGCGCATCGCATCGAGATGAAATGCCCCGCACTATGTTTGTACGATAGTCGCGATGCAGCTATGCAGCATCTTGGCAAGCATCGCATCGAGATGCCTCACTATGTTTGCGTCCTTAGAGTATTATTTAAAAGCAGTGTTTTCTACATGCTTTTGCTACAAACATTTTATCCAATCATCTAAGTTAGTTCAAAAAATAATTTGCAAAAAAAGACCTCAATAAAAATGAAACTTCGACACCCTGTGTTTCCGAAGAATTTTAAGACCTAAATTTATACGAACTTTTTAGGTACTTATTTTTATCTGTAAAATATGTTGCCAGAGTTTCCCGATTACGATTTGGACCACCCTGTATATTAAAATACTGAGAATATATTAATTCTTACTTTATTGTTAGCTTTTAACATAAAGCTTAGGGTAGGTAAACGAAGTCTATCCAGAACAATTTTTGATTTCTTTTTCTTTTTTCTACTTTTCGTGCTACTGGTAACCGATTCCTTGCTCGTTTCTTTAGGTTTCTTAATTTCTTCAACTTTTCTTAACGGTTGCACGGAATTTATAGTCGGTGGCGGTTGTTTCTCTTTTAATTTAGCTACATTCAGAACCTTGGCCTGATAAGTCGCTCTCAAAAATCCAAAGCTCTGAGATGGCACGCTAAACGTTGCGTCTTGTTTATAATCAGGTGAAACAAATTGTCTTAAATTTGCACTAGTTAATCTATAGAAAAAAATATATATAAAAAATTTAATAGAAAATAAATTTTAACTATCCAGCAACCTGTTTAATATACTTTTCGATATAGGTCTGCCTCCATCATAATTAGTTATCCTTGGAATTTCTATACTTTCTACTGAATCATCCATTTCAGATAGTTCATCAATTTGTGCAAATGCATCTATTTTCTGAAAGGAATGCAAACCTTTTTTTGTTAAAATACAGTTTGTTATAAAATTGTTTATTATACCGGGTGCGGTCTCAAAAGTGGCTCACCCCCTATAACTTTTTTATTTTTTCAGATAAAAAACGAGATTCGGTACGTTAGTATATAACATAAATTGGGATTGTGATTGACATATTCAATTGTTTTCGGTCACATCCTGTTTCACCGGAAATGACTACAACTTTTGATTTATAAATGGCACCCTCGGTATTTTTTTACTTTACTCGATTAAAAATGACACTCTGAATCGAATGACATATCAATGTCAATTCAATGTCAATTAATATGTCAACTTTTGACATATTCACTCAAAAACAAATTGTATTTTAAATTTCAGTCTAGAGTGCCATGACTGTGTTAAAAACACTAATTTTTAATCAAGGAGCCTTGGAAAAATAGATTTGATCGTCTAATGTTTTAGTGTCTTGTCCTGGTCGGTTGAAAAATTCAATGTCAATTAATATGTCAACTTTTGACATATTCACTCAAAAACAAATTGTATTTTAAATTTCAGTCTAGAGTGCCATGACTGTGTTAAAAACACTAATTTTTAATCAAGGAGCCTTGGAAAAATAGATTTGATCGTCTAATGTTTTAGTGTCTTGTCCTGGTCGGTTGAAAAAGCAATTTTTTATGAATAATTTGATATCACATACTTGGTATTTCGAGTCAAATTGTCGTTACGAAGCGCATGTTACAATTTCAAATAAACCATATGCGAAAATGTCAAAAGTTGGCATATGATATGTCATTCTATTTGGAGTGTCATTTTCTATCAAATAAAGTAAAAAAATACCGAGGGTGCCATTTAAAAATCAAAAGTTGTAGTAATTTCCGGTGAAACCGGAAGTGACAGAAAATAATTGAATAAATTGTCTTGATTGAAATTAATCCTAATTTATTTCATATTCTAACATACCAAATCTCGTTCTTTTATCTGAAAAAATAAAAAAGTTATAGGGGTGAGCCACTTAGACGCACCCGGTATACAATTTGACCAAAAATTTCGTGGTTTATTTTTTGTGAAATACTGGGCCTTATTCTTGTCTACGTCTACTATACCAGATGTTTTTAAAAGTGCCTCACCTCTATAACTTTTTTATTTTTCAGATAAAAAAAACTAGATTTGGTATGTTCATTATTATTTGACACAAATCGGGATTGATTCGTAGCTCCTCTAAATTTTGTAACTAAAAACTTAAAGACTGGCAAAGAGAAAATATATGACTGTGAGAGTTGATGCCATTATGATTCAAAAGTAAAATGTTCTTATCCATTTGTGGCTATATATTGGACGATATCTGTCGATATCCCTTTTTTTGGACAGACTTATTAATTAACAAACTCGTTTAACATATAAAATTTTCATTATTTATTAATTAGTTTCGAGGCTTTAGTATCCCCTTGCTAGACAGTATAGTATCCCGTTATGGAATATAAGATAGGATTGATAATTTTTATAATTTTGTAATTTTTAAAATCATGCAGACTTAGATCCATTTTATCACATACTAAACCAATAAATACAAAACAACAAACAAAAAATGTAATATACCAAATACCCTGTGAATGCGATAAATTTTACATTGGTGAAACATCTAGACCCTTAAATGTTAGAATTAAAGAACATAAAGATTATTTAAGAAAGGGAGATTTTCACAAATCTAAGATTTGTCAGCATTCATGGAACACAGGGCACAGAATAAATTTTAATAACGCCAAAATTATAATGAAAGAAGCGATAGCCTCTAAAAGAAAAATAAAAGAGGCTTTTTTAATTCAATCTAATAAAAATAAATGTATTGCTCATGCATCTGTAGATGTTAGTAATGTATGGCAATCGCTTCTTTGATTTTAAAGAACATAACATAAATAAACATAACATAAGTAAAATTTAAAAATAATCATACAGAAAGTTTGGGCTTTTTGGTTTTACCTTATTAAGTAATTCTTACCAGGTAGTACTTGTTAATTTTGAAGTTTAACTTAATATAATGTCATTTTAACAGAGCGTCAACGATTTCTTGTAGACCATTTGTAGACGTATCTGTTTTAAATAGTAAAGTGTTCTCGAATAGTTCAATTTAAATATTTTAAATAGTTCTTTTCTTGATTCTTTATATTTTTTTGCTTCCGACGACGGAAAGAGAAAACTTTCCGAAACGTTAAGCATTTTTTTCTTTGTTAGGCAAATTTTTATAACTGTAAACACAACTTCTGACAAACAGCGTCCGTTTAGGTTTAACACAGAAGTGTTTACAAAAAATAACTATTTTATTTTGTAGATTTTTCTTGCAGTGCAGTGGCGAAATACCCATAAAGGATTTTTTTGGATAGCATTACATATGTAAATAAAATTGCTTTATTTCACAACAATAATTAAAAAAAATATAATAGGTATTTAAAACACATCTTTTTATATTTGATGCCAATTAAACTTTTAGTTACGTAATCGAGAGCGCAATTTTTAAATTCATTGTTGCCAACCATGGCAACATATTCGGCCCCGGGCTGACTAACTCGAATTTAAATTTCCCGCTAGGGATTCATTTGGTAGCTCTGCTGTAAAAAATGTCAAGTTGCCACATTTATTTATTTATTTCCAGACATTGTCATTCGTTTTGACAGTTCAGTTTTGTATTACGGGTTTTGTGTGTGATTTAAATAAATTGTGTTGTGATATTTTAAACATAAAAATTTGTACCAGCAGACCTTATAATACAGTCAAACATTGTTCTTTTTAGAACCTCTTTTAGTGCGAAGTGTACAAGATAGCTTAATAGCCGTAAAAAACTCATAGCAACTTTATTAGAATAAATGTAAACTAGATGTAATAATGGCTCTCTATGTCCATTAAGTGTTGTTAAGGAGGTAAGTTTTGTTGATGTAAATAATAACTGTTTATATATTTATAATTAATTTTTATTTTTGTTTTCTTAAATATTTTGATTAAAAGAAAATATGTAAAAGTAGCAACGCTGTGCCGGTCAAGTGATTAAGACTTGACTCAACTTTTACTCAAGTGATGAAGACTTGACTAAAAGTTTATTTGATATGAACTATATATATGATTCTTTTCACTTCTCAAGAAACTTTTCCAAGTTTAGATATTATTATAACATCAGATATGGGATCCGGAGCTTTGAATAAAAGGATTAAGAAAGGAGCATCTGAAAAAACTTAGGTCGAGCGCAATGGAAACCTAAAATGGCCGATTTAAATTCCGGTTTATCAGTGCCATTCTAATTTTATTCAAAATTTGTAAAAATATAATATAGAGTAAACTCAATAATTTATTGTTTTATTTTGCATTGTCAATAAATATTGGTAGTTATAATTGTTATAAAAATATATATTTCTAATAACAATAAATAAGTTATAATAATGATTTAATAACACAAACCTCAGATACGCTACTGAAGAACATAAGTCAAATTGACGTATATAAATTATTTCTGAAAAATAGTAGATAAATACAAGAGAAAATGAAAGAAAAAACATATAATTAATTAATTCTAATTAAATTTTATGAATGATCGGTTTGTATACTATACAGGGTGAATCTTAATTAGGTTTATTTCCCAAAAGAAAGATGTTGAAAATCGTGCAGAAATCGTGTTTAGAAAACTTTTTAGAAGTTTTTTAGCCATTCATTCCTAAAGGTTCTTTAGTTCTTCATTGCCTATTACCGAGAACCGCACATTTGCCATTGACAGAGAGATATGGAAAGATCTGCCAGGATAGGCACCAAGGCCCTAGACACTCAATACTAATTTTATGGGACTACAAATTTAGTTTCTTCCGCGTCGCCAGACGGCGCAAAAGTCATTAAAGAACAGGTTTCTAATTTATATATGAAGATGACACAACAGCCTCTATATATACTACCATCTATGGTCTAGTTGTCAAAATGTTGGTGATCCGTCAAGTTATTTTTAAATAATAATTATTAATTCAGATATTCCTGATTTGCCGGAAAGTTCGGTGATTTGTGTTTATAGTTTGTGTTTTTATTAATTTGTGCATTTGGTATTTACGGTAGATTATCATTTTTGTGTTAGATACTAAACTTTTTTATTAAAGACATTTTAAACATCTAAGAAATAATACATTTATGAACGAAATAAAAAAAAAAATGTTTAAGCATAAATAAGTAAGTACATACATAGTTGATATTATAGTATTTTTAGTAACAGTTAATTAGGAGTCGTAATAGTAATAATATTTTGACTATTTATAATGTATTTGTTAAATAAAAATAATAGGCGCTATGTGCTCTATATTGTTGGTGTTTAAAATGTATGTATTAATAATTTTATTTTTAGTTTTGAAAAGTTACACTTCTAATGATCTAATAAGACATAAAATATAGTAAACAAGTCTATATTTATTATTTTATATTTTACAAGGAATAATTTTGCGCTTGAATAACGTTGCCGTTTTAGTCAGCGTTAATAAATAACGGAACGCCAAAATTATGTTATACCAAAACTCTCCATTAGTTTCTTCCGGATCAACAGGTGGCTCTAAATGAAGGACTTATTTGTTTAATCAGTATCCAATCTATCTCTAGGACGTGACATTAGTCTATGATAGCAAAGAGTAGATAATATAGATAGAGTCAGGGCCATGTAAGTGAAATACTCAAAATGGTTCCAGCAAAAGTTTCCCAATTATGACGGGTGATGGCGCTGATCGTCAAGATTTTTGGACAGGGATTTTGCTTACCGACGATACGACGTGAGCTACGACCGGACCAGGACCAATCAGAATGATCAGTCTTTCTTGGACATTTGCCGCGGAAGTGTATGTTAATTTTTGTTGTGATAAGTGTGGTTGTGTTTGCAATTTCATTTTTCGGTTTTGATATTATGTTAAAATTAATTTTGAAGTATTGTATCACCTGTTTTTATGTAATAGTACTTTTTTTAGTTCTATGATCTGATATGTTATGATTTGTTA